TTTTTTTTTTTTTTTTTTGTTTTGTAAATAAAATAAAAAATTTTTTAAAAATTTCTAATTAATTGAAAAAATTGTCTTCATTCAAATTTTGTCATGATAGTGTAAGTCTAAAAGGTGCATATTTTATTACCAGTCATTGTAAATGGATAAAATTATAATATATGTCACATAGTTGTTGTTAAATTAAAAAATATAACTCATTGGAATGTAAAAGTAATTTATATCACCATTTTTGATATATCGTGTTGTTATCTGTGTATGTATGTGTTATTATGAATATTAAAATATCGTGAAAAATTACACATTATCATCAAAAACGTGTCTACGTTTGTCTGTTTGTTTGGTAAAATATTGCGTGTGGTTATATATTAAAAGATATTACTTAATGCTGATTTTGTATTAAAAAAAAACAACAGAAGAAAGTACAACACTGTCATTTTCTACTCTATAATATGTGATTTATTTTGTAGTAAATAATTGTTTTACGTTTCAATCATGTATAGGAAAAAAAAATATTTCAAGTTAATATGACAACAAATTAAAATAATGTTATTTTTTTTAAAAAAAAAGGTATTAATATTGATCCAGTAATTTGATTTTATATTAATAAAAAAAAAAAAAAAAAAAAAAAGAAAAAAATAATTTCATATTTTTAATGAGAAGATACATTTTGTTTGTCATGTAAGTATTCTTGAGTTAAGGTGAACCAACGTCATAAAACAACTAAACATGTCATTATGATATTCTATTGTTTGTTTTGAAAAGAAAAGAAAAAATATTAGATGCCATTGTCTAATTAAATAATAGTTTATATTTCCCTACGGTTACTCAGTATATAGTTTAAGAAAAAAAAAATTTATTTTTATTTTACAATAAAATATCATTTCCTGTTGACGACTTTTCTTTTAGATTAGTAAAGTTATATTACAATTCATTTAGTGTAAATTAAACGCAATGTAAATGGGTAACTTGACCTACAAATGGGCGTTGAGTATATAATTTCGCTCAGTATATACCTCTTCAACTAACAAAATCAATGTATTTACATTAGATATCATGGAATCTAAAACTGATTTGTGATCTGAATAAATACGTAAGTACTTTTTTATTCTTCTCTCTTTCTCTATTAATATCAATATCAATAAATTATTATACCATTACCGTCGTACAAGATTTAATCATTAGAAAGAAATGTCCAGTTGACTAGGAAAAAATTAGCAAAAAAAAAATGAATAAAAGATTAATTGGATAAAAGAGACACGTGATAGTTGGAATATAATACAGCTATCGTTTTGCTTTCTAGATTACGAATAAAAGTGTCAAAAAAAAAAGAGTAAACAAGTACTTTCATACAGGTTATACTTATTAATCGGTCTAGTTTATCTGGTTAAATTTTTTAATAGAATTTTCTTCTCTTACTTTTTTCATACAGTGATTGGCTCTTTTTCATGTAATAGTCACAATAAAATAACAATCGAAAAAAACATTGTTCTTGGTAATTATCAGTGTTTTTTTGTTTTTTTTTAATGTTAATCGAAGTAGAGAAGTTATTTTCTAATGATTATACTCTAGGACTAATTGAGAAGTTGTACTTTGATACACATTCATCTCAGCAAAGATTGATGTAAATCACAGCAGTCAGTCGCAAACTATATGTTGATTTTCAAAAAAAATTACATGAGATAAAATTGTCTTTTATCAATGAGAAAAACGAAGCAAAAAAAGAAGGCCATAATAATCAGAAAACCTTAAATTAGAGATAAGGATAATAAGACATAAATCTATTCTTATTCTCTTCATGATTAATATTACACACGCTGATTTTTTTTAATATTGTATATTTATATTATTTAGTCGATTCCCTCTCTACATATATGTGTAATATTAGTAGCAAATTATAGAAACAATGTTAGACATTAATCAAAAACAATCGTCTCAGATAAAAACAAAAAGTCAATTTATTCATTTTATTCAAGGTATTGCAATAACATTATTTACATTAACAATTATTATAATAATTTATTTAACATATATCTATTGTAAAAAATTGTCACCATTTATTAATTATGCAATTATTTTTGATGCCGGTTCATCACATACAAAAATGTATGTTTATAATTGGCCAGCTGATAAATCAGATGGTTTAGGTTCAACATCAACTGTTAGTGAATATTTTTGTTGTTCATTATCATCAATTGTTAAAACATTACCAATAACATCTAATTCAACAAAATTAACAGAAATAAAATTTCGTGCTATTTCTGATTTTGAAAATCATTTAGAATATCTTGAAGAATATTTTCATGTATGTTTAGAAGATGCTAAAAAAAAAATTCCATCTACTAGACATGGATATTCACCAATATTTTTGGGTGCTACTGGTAAATTAATTATAAAAATAATTTTTAATAAAAAAATAATATTTATTCTCTTATTTTATTTTATTTTTAGCTGGAATGAGATTAATACGTCTTAGAAATAAAACAAAATCAGATGAGATTTTAGACAAAATACGTGAAATATTTTATAATTATCCATTTCAATTTGTTAGAATGAGACAAGTAATGTATTAAATATAAATTTTAAATTTTTTTGTTAAAATTATAGATTACATTTCATTTTTTTCTATATCTAGGTGAGAATATTGACAGGTCTTGAAGAAGCTATTGATGGTTGGATAACAACAAATTTGTTATTAGAAAAATTTAATCACAAACATGGACGTCGAAAATCTCAAAAAAATTATAAATCAGATGAAATTGATTCGGATATGGTTGGTGTTCTTGATTTGGGTGGTGCATCAACACAAGTAACATTTACTCATAATAATTTACCAAATGAACAAATACCATCAAAATATACAACAAATATTACATTATTTGATAAAATTTATTCACCATATGCTCATAGTTATTTATGTTGGGGTAAAAATGAAGTACATAGACGATATCGTGCTCGATTAATAAATGAACAAATGAAATATCTTCTATTTCAACAACAGTATATACGTTTAAATATAGATGATTATTGTTTGCCAAATAATGCAAATGAAACAATATTATGGAATACTATATTTCGTTCACCATGTCTAATAAATGAAAGAAAACAATTTTTTATACAAAATAAAACTAAAAATGTATCAACAGTTTTATTTATTGGTAAAGGTAATTCGACTATGTGTGAAAAATTAATATTAAATTTAATTAATATAAAAAAATTAGATAAAAATATTAATTGTTCATATAAAGCAGATTTTTGTACATTTGATCATACATATCAGCCAACATTACCAAAAACTAATGATTTTATTGGTTTATCCGGTTATTATTATGTATTTAATAATTTAGCGTATGGTTTACATAATCGAACAAATCAAACATTTGATAAATTTAATTTAAAAAATTATCGTATATCGGATATTAAAAAACGTATTGATAATGTATGTGAAAAATCATTTGATCTCTATCAAAAACAAGAAGATATGTCTCAATATAATGAACAACATAAACGAACAATGTGTTTTGATGGTTGGTATGTTTGGTTATTATTAACACATGCTCTTGGATGGAAAGAAGAAAATTTAAAACGTCTTAGTTTTGTAAAACGTTTACCAACAGGTGAAGTAGGTTGGACACTAGGATATATGATTAATCAAACAAATTATATACCACGTGAATATAGACGAAAAGCATTACAAAAAAATTCATTTGTATTATGGTTATGTCTTGCATTAACGATTGCATTAGCATCAATCATATTTCTAATATTAACGTGTCAAAAATATATTAAATATTATAGAATTAAACAACAAAATAAAAGAAGACATCAACAACAGCAACCATCAAACAGTCATTCTATACCAGTTGAAGAAAATGAACTTATTAGATAAATGTAAGAAATTTCAGTCATCTTTACATCTCTTTTCAGCCGCTCTTTTTCCATTTTCTAGTCAACATTTTGAAATTAATTTTATAAAGGAGAAACATTAATAATATCAATTATAGATAGTATTAGTTCGATTGTTGTTTTTTCTCACAATATCCTTTCATTTTGTGGGCTCAAGATGATTCTTCCTATCAGAATAAAAACACATTCTTGTGTTTAAAGTGAATTTTTAGACTTTAACAATACCAAACTTTTAGAGAGGAATAAGAATATATAAAATGTAAACTAATTTCTATTGTGTTTTTAATTTTTATTTCCATTTCGACCAATTTTTTTTTCCGAGTGATACAAGTGTGTTTTCTAAGAAGCAGTATCTAGTCAAATGCTTGCTTAAATCAATGTATGATCGTTCATTTTATCAAAACGTTTTAATACAGAGGATTGTTCTGTTCACCAGTAGATCATTTCAGTTATATTAGAATCATGTACGATGAGGGTTCGTCGAGTGCTTACTTTTTTGCAGGTAGTAGGGCAGGTTGCAGGGGCAGGTAATTATCAAAGGAACAAATCTTATTCTGATCTGTTTGAAGAACAATGCGGAAGTTTTACATAGCCAATGCATATGTCAAAGTGATCTCTATGATGTTTGTACAGAATAAATAGTACGTTCTTATTGTACAACAGGATCAACAGATTAGAGTTCGTTGTCTCCTATACTAGATCTCTACGCATTGATCTAACACATTTTTTTTCTTTGTAAACTCTTTTTATGTTGTATATGGTATTATTTAGTAGTTTTATTTTTAACCGTTTTATAACAGGTATTGTGCAAAAGTTCCTTCATAAAAACATACATCAATTTAGTGTTTTTTCTCTCTTATTTCATATTCTTGCCGTTCCTAACATGCTATCGTATGCTTTATGTCGACCAATAAAACCATTTTCATGCACGAATACACAATCGATATCAATCGAGTTGCCACTCAACTATAATCCTAATTAACATTTTCATACAAAACGTACAAAATAAGTAAAAAGTTACCTATTTTCAAACGATGTTTTTACATTTACTGTCACAGCTTGTATATATCATCTTCTATTGGGATCAGGATGTAGTGCATATTTGATTGTTATCACAAGATTTTATTTATATTCAATATCTATCAAAAATTTATAGTCAAATACAATTATTCAAACAAATTGGTTAACCTTAAATGAAGCATTAGTTTATTTATAACTTTTAGCTTTTATCAGACAACAATCTAGTAATGAGAATATCACACCCTGTTCTCGCAAACCTATATAGTCTTTTGTTTGAAGAGCTTTCCCCGATATTCATATATCAATCAAATAAGTCATAGACAGCCAGTAATCAAATCACTGCATCGGTTTTGAAAAAGTTTGTTTCCGCACTGAGAAAAGTCGATTTTACTTTACTGAGAAAAATTGGAATTCTGCCCTAATTCGCAATTTTCTCTATCAGAACTCAACTTTTACGCAATGAAAATATCAGATTCGAAGTCAGTGTCAAAAATTGAGTCGAATGATACATATTTCAAAATTTTTCGTTGATTTTCATTTTTTGATGAAAATCTTAGTAATTATTCGACGTAAAAATTCAACAAGAATTAAAGTGATCGAATAGGATAAAACAGTACATCATTCGACTCGATTTTTGACGCTGATATCGACCGATCCTAGTCGAGGTTGCTGTAGGAGATGGTTGTAATGAAATTCTTCGTCCTTACGTGCATATGGTCAGTTTTTGCTACTGAATCCAAATAGAATGATTTCAGAAAATTTTAATCAGTGTAAACGGACAAATACTTGAATTGATACAATATACTGGATATTAACGTCAAAACTTCCAGAGGTATCGAACAAGAAAATCAGTTTTGAAATGAGCCTTTTTTTCGTTTAGAGCCAACTTGCAAGTCTGTCCTCACTCCAACGGGCAATAGTCGTTGGAAGCAAAATTAGCTTGTATAGTAGATCAACTAGTCTACTATGTATATTGACAATATTTGAATAAAAACATTTCGTTTATTTTAGAAAATCTACAAAAATTTGAGGTGTTTTTTGGCTCGTTGTTCACACTTCTTTTTGTATGAGTGCTCACATGTACAAAGTCAGATCTACATATGATTTTGGCCATAGGTAGTACTTCACATATAAAAGGTTTTGAATAATTAAGCTCATTTAATTATGTGTTTGAACGCGCTCAAAATAGAACACCTGTACGCGTTTAAACACGATTTTCTTCAGTATTTAGAAAAAAACACATTTGGACGCATGTTTTAGGCAACAAATTTTTATATGGGTTGATCTATACTACCTATGTTCTATATATGAATATTTAATATTGTTTCTCGGTCAAGATATTTGAAAAACGAAATCGATTTTTTGTTTAGGTTTGTTCTTCCACGATTTTAGGGCTTTTACTAACAATCTCATAAGTTCAGCAGGAAGTAACGTCTAGTAAAGAAATTTGGGAATTAGCTACTGTGATTATATGAGCCAAAAATGTGAACGTCGATTGGGCATCGTCTACGACAAGAGATCGCCTTATTTGTGCAGTGGCTCATAAATGAACGTTTAACTGATATTTTATTTGATAAAATGTATGATCCATTTGCTCAAGACATAGATACAAATTGAGAGTGATATTGATATAGACAAGAATATGACGTAAATCTGTTATAAAACACACTTGATATTGTTTATCTTTATTATTTAGATACAGAATACACACAAATTTCAGTATCAGTACTAACTGTTTTAATCCATCAGGGAATGTCAGAAATCAATATCAAGAGGACAGTGGTAGACAAGCCATGAATATAACTGATAAAGATAGATTTTCTTATCCGAATTGAATCTAAACAATCATGTAGGTAACTGTCTATCCTAAAGAGTTTTCATTATTCTGAAATTTTTAAAATGTTAAAAAACAAATGGTTTCAGTACTATTTACTTTTGATGATAATGACACATTTCTTTTCTTGGTCAATACATTGCTATTACTAATAATCGCATAACATTCAATAAAAATATGTGCTATATCGTGACAAAAAAAGCACAGTAAGCACATAGTAACACTTCGTGTGCACTTTATTCAATTATATCAGTATTTTATCACCAATAAATATTAATCGTACCTAACAAGGTCAGGATTTCTGTAAGGTAACTGTTTCAGTAGAAAATGTGTAACAGTGAAAATGGTGCATTCAAGTTTTGAGGATCATAGTTGTTGATGCCGACGTTTCGTAACTAGAGCTGAAGAATCGTCTTGTCTTAAACCTACTATTAGAAAAGAAAAGAAAAGAACAAACAAGCCTATTTTCCAGTCAATTTTTGAGAGGATGATGAAGATTTTAGCAAAGACTGACACAAAAATCGTACAAAGTTAAAAAACATTGGCTGAGTCGACAATATTTAGATAGATACCATACGAAAAATTTAGGGGTAAATGTGACAAAAAAAAAATCATTAATTTACGCGTCTCTACAAGGTATGACCTAGGCATGAAATACGGTACATGGAGGGTCTCAATAGGCATAATTTAGTACTTAAAGTTGGTGTCTCAGTTCACCGATGAAAAGCGATTTGTTTATCCTGCTCAATTGTTCGCTTTTCATTATATACTTGATCGGTATCAAAAGCACTATTGATATGCGCTTCTATGCGATCATTGAGATATTGTATCGATGCTGTTTATTCGGTATGTTTATACAATAATATATGAGAATATATTTATTTTCGCCAGCAAAAAAAGATTTAATTGCTGTTTATTTTATTATAAAACTTATAGGAGTCATAAACAACATAGTGAATTAATATACTGTTTTGAGCTTCTAAAACCGATTCACTTAAACAGATCCCTGAATTTACTTCGATTGGTTAAACACAAAAATGAATGGAAACACTACCAAAATTATATTTTTTTATTTCAGTCAAAGAAATAGATATCTAGTACTAAACATAAAACAAATTTTGTTTTAACTCTTATACACAGGCTCACCCTTTTTTCCGTTCGATAACTTTACTAATGTTTGTTTCCTTTTCTTCATTTTGTTGAACAAGATTGACAAAAAAGTAAAAAAAAAAACAAAAAGAAAGAAGTAACGCAATGAGAAGAAAAACAGTTAAACCAAAAAAAAAGAAAAAATACAAAGAGCAAAACTATCATCACATAAAAAGGAGTTTCATAATAAACAAATAAACAACAACAAATGCATCACTTACACTCCAATATCATGTACAAAAATGAAATTTTCAAAATGTGCGCTTTGTACTTTTTTTAAATACATAGACAGCGCTTACAATAAAGGATAATAAAAATAATACATTTAGAGAGAAAGAGAGTATTGATATTCAATGTATTGGTCACTTCTCCTCGTAAAGATCTTCAACCAAAAGAACAGTTGCCACTAATGCATCTTTGACGGCCTACAATAAACAAAACCAAAGTCATCATATTAAGAATAATCGGCAAATTGATTTCAAAACCAAGCATGCGTAAATAAGAATATAGAGCCTCGACTATTTCTTCAGATCTGGGCACAATTAAGCGATGGTAATGTCGATTTTTAAGTCTCCCAATTTTGCCAACGCATTTAAAAGCAAATGAAAAAAATGAGCAAGATTTTACTTAAACTGATTGCTACAATTCTATTTGGGTTAGTGTAAAACTTAAGCTTACTCACAGTATCAAAAAAGGGTGTATTGTTCACAAACTTATTCAAAACATATGAGAATACGGGATCTATTTTAGACGATCGTGAAATAAAAACAGGACACAAAAGATGATTGTTGCAGTCGAAAACAAACCGAGCAGTTGCTAGAAACGTGATATAGTGCACTATTAAACCTTCACTTGACTTAGTGCATTCCAGTAGCAATAGCTTTCTGGATCATTAGAATACGACAGGATAACTTCTAAAATCAGCAACTTTCAATGGCCATTGTCTAAATCGATTTGCTTTTCTGTAACAGAAAAAAATATGCTAGAAAATTTGAGCTCCCACCGATTACCAAACAACAAAATCAGTAAAATAAGTCACAGAAAAACAGAGGACTTATTGTTAACTATAGTTTATCTTATGCGGCAAAAAAACCAACTAAAATTTGTTTTAATTCAATATGTTATGATCCATATTCAACAGCACCATAAAAAAAAGTCTTTTCCCAATAAAAATTTGATCTTTCATTTTCTTCCATGAAAACTTGTTGTTGCAGTTCTAAACATAATTTCATACCTTGACTGAACGTTCAATTATCTTCTCACTTTCAAATATTTTTTCTAATCGATCGTCGAATAGTGATGATGAGTACTATACTAAGGAGAAGCAGAAAGATGAAAATATATGTATTTATCAAAAACAAAAAAAAAAAAAGCTCAAGATGACTCAGCTAACATGCGAAAGGGGAAGAGATTAGTATGGGCCCATTTTTGCAGAATGCATGTTTTGTATGTGTGTCTATGCATAGAAAGAGAGACAAACAACAGAAATGAGAATTGTATTTTTAATATACCAGAACTCCGACATCTGGACTTAATCGTACCGTATCGACGACCGAATATGAATTTGGTTCAGCTATTGATGTATTACTATTAATAATTTTATTATTATTATTACAATTCTCCGATGGTGGCTGTACGATTTCAACGGTTTTTGTTACGTCTGTTGTTGTGGTAGTTATTAAAACTGTTTCTACCTCAGTTTCCGTTATTTGTGTTTTCTGAATTGTTTCGGTTAAACAAACTGCTTCTGGTGATTTTATGCCTGAATTAATATCTAAATAAAAAATGAGAGAAAATTAACTATTGTACAGGCGATGTATTTTATGAATCTTAGGAATGTTTGCATATGATCGAATTAGACACTATAATTATTTTGAGTTAAATTATAATTGACGCGAACCTTTAGAAATAACAGTTTCGCTGGTCGTAATTGGGATATTATATGTGTCCGCTGAATAAAGTAAATTATTATCGCCATTCGCTAATGTATGATAAAGTTGTTCTTGATGGTGGTGACTATTTTCCTGGTTATTTTCGCTATCACTGCTAATAACAGCAATATCATCATCTTCATCCATGCCTTCTTCAAGCTCATCATCTGGCATTTGTTGTTGTACCTGTCCCATTGTATCATTCATTTTTAACAAACCATTCGTTAAATTGTGACGTGGATATTTTTTTCGATAGATTCTGTCATTGTCATCTTCATTTTTATCGGTATTATCATCAATATCTAAAAAAATAAAAGAACGATGAGTCTTACATAAAATCAGAAAAATGATCATACAATCTCTCACAGACAGTGAAAATGAACTCGAATTAGTGCATTTAATGATAGACACATATTGGATCAGAACAAGTACTAATTTTACCTTCGAAATCTTTATCTATAACTTGTTGTTTTCCATCCATTTTCCATCTCCTTCCAAAAATATGTGATAATCTATCGATCTCACCATTTCCATTTATCGGTTTAGATGTTTTTATTTCCATTTCATTATCAATTTCTTCAGTTGACTCGATTCCATCATCATCGATTTCTTCTGTAGATTCTTCATCTTCGTCATTTTCATCTCCGAATCTACCAAAATAACCAACAGTCAAAATAATCTTTAAAAACAAGAGGAACGAGAAAAAACGTTTTATCTAATTAAAAATCCATAATTAGTAATGATCTGACTAAATAAAACACAACTTATGTGTTTTAACGAACATTCAATAGTAAACTTTTGTTGAGTAAGAGGTTCTATACGTAAATTTCTGACACACTTGTCATTTAATATTACTATTATACTAAATTTTATTCTTTCTGCCGGCTGATACACTCAACAAGCATACTGCAAAACCGAACTTAAATATCTTTTACTGAAAATTTTTACTATGAAAAAAGTCAAATTCAGTAAAGAATACTTTTCTCTTAAAACGTATCATAGAAGAGAAAAATAATTTACTCACTCCTCGTTCTCTTCGTACACTTCTTCGTCATCAATATCTTCTAAATCCTCTTCATCATTCATAATATTTTCTGTATTATCCAAAACTTTTTCAGTTTCATCAAATTCAACGGTTATTTCTACATCATTTTCTGCGTCTCGAAAAATATTTTCTGCATCATCTTCATCGTCTTCCAATTTCATCGTATTTAACAATTTCATATCAGCAACTTTTTGACGTTTTATACTATTAATCATGCCATTACCATCTCGATTATGAATGTTTTGATTTGATGAAATATTATAATCATATTCCTGAGAATATATTCTCATATTATCTATAGAAGATAAACGGAGAAAAATAAGAGCTTTATTGTTAGACACATTTATAATTTCTCGCGTCCTACTTTCCCTCTAGTAGTACCTTCTTGATTTTTGAATGCTTGTTTTCGTTGAGTATTATTCAATGAATTTATTTTATTATTATTATCATTTGTGATATTATTCAATGTTGTAATTAGATGTGTATTATCATTTGAAATAGATGGAGTTGTTATTGCCGTTGCAAGATCAGTTGATGGTTGATTATCTGGTAATAATGAAGATGTTGTCGATGTTTTGTATGTTACAGCGGATGATGAAAAAGGAGGATAAGATGATAATTTATCGTGATTTGATAGTGTTGTTGGTGCACATAGTTGAATCACACTTCCATTAGTTCTGGCACTTGTGTGCTCTAAAAGAGACGAAGGAGGATGATGGATTTTTGTTGTTGTTGATGGTAATGTAGTCGAGACATATCGAGGTTTTTCAACATTTTCAAATATAAAAGGTTGATAAAAATGGTGCGTCGAATCTAATGCGATCGATCGGCTAGAACGCAATTTATGAACAGCTTTTCTGACCTAAAAATAAATAAGCAAGTGTACCATAGTTGCATAGTTAATACGAAATTAGCAATTGTGACGAACAATACAATCGTTATTTTCAATTTTATCTACATAATCATGTAAAAGAAATGAGAAAAGACCTTTTTCAAGAAAAATGATCAGTGTGTTTTACAACTTTAGAGTCTTAAGTAAAATAAAAAAGTAATTTTTTGTTGAAAATCAAAGATGGTAAGAAATAAAAGAATACTTCACGCACACAGTGAATATCAAGGTAAAAAATCGAAAGTGCACTCTTTCCAGACCTAAAGAGGAAAAAATATACTCGACTATTTAGCCTATTTATTGTCGCAAAAGTTTTTGTAGAAAATCAAAATTAAACCGATACGAATTCTGAATCTAGACTCTTTCGGCTATCCAACAGCGAACCAATTTCGTTTCTCGGACTTACAGAACCCGAGAGATAAAAATAGTTTTTCCGCTAATTTCGTTTTAGTACAACTGTGATCAGTATAATGAGCGTGCCCCAGTCCACCCAAATTCAAACTAGCTGAAACTTTGTATAAATGTTCTTTTACTTATATTACATCTGTACCGATAGCGTAAATTAGTGTGAATGACCCTGGACAGCACTACAAGTTTTTCAAGTAAAATGTATTTTTTCTCCGTCCAGGAACATATTTATTGAAAAAGAAGGTCATATTCGGAATCAGCGCGTGAAACTACATGTAATGATATATAAAATGCATTTTTTCCATCAAAAATGTTTTCTGACAAAAAATTTGGGCTCGTCAAAGATTTTTGTCCCGTATTTTACTAAATACTGCTATCTAAATCATAGAAAGTGATTTTTAGACCAAATATGCTCACTGTAACGCGGATCTAAGACCTAAGAAGAAAATAAGTATAACACTTACTTTGCCAGATGGATCTTGAAGACCTTCTTTAATTAAATCTTTAACAACGGCAAGAATCGTCGGACAATCATGCCGTTCTTCTTGTAATAACATTTCGATTATAGCATATAACGACATACGACACGTCACATCATCATATGGTTTCTTGCGAGTTTGATCAGCACAATGAGCTTGATAATCGGATAATGTGTTTACATAATGATTTTGTAACAACTAAAAGTTTAACATAATATAAGTTTTTTTCATAAAATAACGAAACAAAGTCACATACTTGATATTGGTCACTTGGCAAATAATCACCATAAGCACCAATTAAACTCTGAATACCTAAATACAGTGATCAATTTAAAAGATTTGATCTAGCGTCTGAGAGAAGAGCTGTATCTTACAATCAAGTGCTGCACGAGATATTGTATGATTCGACGTTGTTAAATGATCTGTCTAAATAAATAACTTATCTTTCATTCAATGATGTTGAGAGCAACAATTATCTATGATATAAATTTCATATGACAGCTGTTATTGGTTAAAAATAACAACTGTTTTACTACTAACAGTCAATTTTAATATTTAAGAATATTGTTGAAAAAGCGTTCATAACTCGGACTTTAATATGTTTTTACTTGAAATTTTTAAGAGACTTTACCTACATAAAATACTATTCAAACAAAGTTTTAAGATTAAGTATTGTGCAAGTCGTAATTGAGATTAAATGTGAGGAGACGCTGATTAAACAATTCTGATACCGTAAGCTGAAGAAACTTAAATGCGTCCTCTCGCCCACAGTAATGTACTTAACAATACGCTAATTATAGACAATTCTACTACACATACTGGAATTTTTGATGGTAAACGTATAGACGTTTCATGTACGATCCATCTGATTAATTTTTGAAGAATGTCCACATCCATTCTCAAATTACGATCGAAAAAATTAAATAAATTTTCTAATGAACGATAGATAGTGATTGACACATCTCTGAAAAAGAAATAAATCTATATCAAAGATGAATAAAGTAATCATACGGAAAATTACAAGCACTCTGGATACGGTCGTATTGCATCGAGTAACGATATAAACATCGCTGCTATCTTTTTTAATTGTAATAAAAAACAAGCTGGAACACTAAAAAGAACAAAAAGACATTTCTAGAATTGTGTAAGAAATAAAAGAGTGACTAGATGTACCATGTGACAAGTCTATCAAACAGATGGATACATAGTTCAAACATCGTTGGTAAACTATTTATTAATGGTTGTTTACGATTATGAATAGTTGACTAAAAATAGTCAAAAGAAAAAGAATAAAACTTTTATTGGAAGAAAAACAGATTGTTTACGTATTGTTGATGTGTAATTGTTAAAACTTTTGCTATGACATCAAATGTTTTTTCATATGCAACTGGAACAGCTAGATCTAATTTAACACTAAAAAAAAAACACGATAATATTGAGTCTCATCAATCAATTTTTTTCCTTTACTAAATACGTACTCGAACATGTATCGTAGAATCGTACAACAATTACAAAATATTTGCACATAATCGTTCACCGGTATCTCTTCACCAATTTCAGCTTCTAATACGGTTTCATCTGTAACTGATTCGGGACATAATGGTTCTACATAGCAACAATAAATATAAAATACAAAAGATAAATAGCGGTTACGCAAAAATTACCATTTACGTCTAAATAGATTCGATCAATTAAAATCCTTGATATTTTCAGATATTTGTCATAATCATTTTTCCATGATTTCACTTGTTTTTGTCCACTTTGTCTAGAATTTGGACCTAATACTGATAATTGAGCTATACATCTACAACAAATCTAAAATAAATGAAAAAAAAATTAGTTAATTATTGATCAACAGTTACTATTCATTTTTTGTTTACTCACATCTACTGGACCAACGTCTTTATTAAAAATAATTCTTGATAACAACGGACGAAATTTAATCTATAATAAAAATTGGATATTCATAAAGATCATCATTAAGTTATCGTACTAAACTATTTCAGATGAGTAAAAAGTATAAAATACACTCATATATAATTTTCTTATGAAAAGTAAATACGAAGAGTTTAACTGAACTCTTTCTATTTTGCATTCAAGCTTTTATCTATCGTACTTACAGTAAGAAATGGTGGACATCTTTTTGGATAAGTTGTCATACATTCATATAAACACTTAGCTGATAATATTGGGTTCTAAACCAAATATAAAACAGCAACTTTATTTTTAGTAAAAATAGATTAAGCTTTTGTTTTTAATTACAGCCGAAAAATGATAAAATGCAAATGCAGTCATTTCTGAAACATAATCTTTAGCCATAAATAAATGTTCAATATGCCGATTTCGCTTTGATGCTTGTAAATAAGTAATAAAACCACAAAAACCAACTTGAATAGTTGAGATATTCGGAGCATCCTATTACGAAATAAAAGAGATGGAAATATGAAGGATGAAACTTTGTATATTTAAGACAAACCTTACTTCAAGAAATGTGTGCAACGCTTTTAAATTAGCTTCGGCTTCTTGTTCTAAACGATAATCATTGGGATTTGATTGAAAAAAATTTGATAATGTTTGAATATTGATGGCTGCCCTAAAACCAATATTCCGTTAGACACTTAGATTACGAGCTTACAAAGTTTCAATGGTGAGGTCCACGAAACGCTGACTGTGATTCGCTCACTGTTCAAGATCTTTCTGTACCATTTCAGTAAACTTAGAAAAAAGGAACAGCCCGCCCTGTGTCAACCATTATCGGTGTAGAGTGCTATCACGTGTCAATTTCAATAGCCCGATATTTTTCCTATAGTTAACAAGCTTCTGATATGGTCATCCATATCGTTACTCTGATTAGAAGACTAGTCTGACGCACAATTCTTTTCATTTCATTGCTTGAACTCCTCATACACACTCACCAACCTCACGAAGACTGACCGATGAAACTATGGGTGCACGCCAGTGAACTATCAGACGAGTGATTTGAATCAATAAGGCATAATAACTTCTCCAAGGTTATTATACGACTTGATAGGGCTGGGACTCGAGCACAGTACCTTTAATATGCGTGACGAACAACATAACTGCCAAGCTATGCTGTCAATAAATTTAGCATACTATGCAAATTAACTGAAATACGTACATTCTTCAATTCACTGTTAAACCATGCACCATCGATTTTGCACTTTGTTATTTTCAATTGCTATAAAAGTCCTAACAAAAAACAGTAATTTCATCTAAAAACTATTAGAACAACAAAAGATTTACTGAGCCAAAATAATTGTTACAATGCTCCAATCGAAACTAAGATGAGATGCCGGAGAGCCTTTCATAAAAATTCTTAAGTGCTCGACTTAAGTCAGACTTAAGTGTATAAGATTAACACGTAAGTGTACAAAACGAAGACTTAAGTCGAACACTTAAGAATTTTTATTAAACATCCTCCTGTATCAGCCATTTATTATTAGGAATCTTCACTAGAAGTGAAAGGGATTTCAACTGGACTCTCTTGTATCAGGTTTAAAGAGTATAATGAATCACTAAGCCAGAGGACTATAATGGACTAAGACGTAATAATTTAACTAATTCAAGTAGTTTTAGTATAGATCACAGAAACAAGAACGTGAACTAGAAACCGGGAGATCTAATCAAGGTAAAAAGCCCAAAAAGAGAAAAAGAAGCAAGAGAGAGACACACAAGCAAAGTAAATGATGGATGACCAATGAGATAACTCACTGTCATTAACTAATTAGAGAGCGTCACACGACCTCTAGTAGCCTTTTCAGCTTTTTATTACCAGTTCAAAAATTTTATAACAACAAAGAAACTCAGTTAAAAGAAATCTGAATCAAAAACTGCATGATGAACGACATATTCAACTTTCTTAATCCTTCTCTTTCGCATCTGTGTTCTGTTCTTTTTTCTTTCTAGTGATACGCTAGTTGTACTTTCTAGAGAGTAACCGCACTTGTTGGAAAATCTGTTCCACTGCACTCCGACGTTTTTCAGAAGTTAAAGAAAGCAAATTTAAAAAAATGAAGCGAGCTTTGGCAACTCTTGTTAGGAATCGGGCATTAGCCTGTAATTCAGAATCAGTTAAAGTGAGTTTAATGCGAGAAGTAATGAACACGAATTTCTGAAGCTAAAGTCAACGGTTCCATTTATTTGAATGATTTTAGTTTGTCAGTAGTAGAAATGTGCAATTGCCACAATCCATACAAATTCGTCCTATTTCAACAACGTGTGTGAAATATGCTACTAGCACACCAGAAGTTTCTCAAATATTAGAACAGAAAATACTTGGTCATCAATCTAAACAAGACCTTGAAGAAACAGGACGTGTATTGACAATAGGAGATGGTATTGCACGTGTTTACGGTTTAAAAAATATTCAAGCTGAAGAGATGGTGGAATTCTCCAGTGGTCTAAAGGTTTGTCTGACTTTGTTTTATTAACATCATCGTTTTCGTTTGGTTTTGAACTGCAGTATTAACAGTTTTTGACAGATGCTGAAAAGATTATCCTTTATTTAAGGGAATGGCTCTCAATTTGGAGCCAGATAACGTCGGTGTTGTCGTATTTGGTAACGATAAATTAATTAAAGAAGGTGATATAGTTAAACGAACAGGAGCTATTGTTGACGTACCAATTGGAGATGAATTATTGGGTCGTGTGGTTGACGCATTAGGAAATCCTATTGACGGCAAGGTATAAACAAAACTTGAAACTATTTGTTGCATGATTTGATTGCCGTCTTCACTTTTCTTAGGGACCGTTAGGGACAAAAAAACGTGCTCGAGTTGGTATAAAAGCACCTGGCATTATACCGCGAATTTCTGTGCGCGAACCTATGCAAACTGGAATGAAAGCTGTTGACAGTTTAGTGCCCATCGGTAGGGGTATCTAAATGGTAGTGATTTATCTTCTTTACATATTTGTCTTGTATTTTTCAGGTCGTGGTCAACGTGAATTGATCATTGGTGATCGTCAAACGGGGTAAGGAAATGGAATAAGATCAATATTTAATGAAATTTTAATTAAACATTTTCTTCTGTTTCAGTAAAACAGCAGTAGCCATTGACACAATTATTAATCAGAAACGTTTCAATGAGGGTCAAGATGAGAAGAAGAAATTATATTGTATTTATGTTGCCATTGGACAAAAACGTTCAACGGTGGCACAACTTGTCAAACGTTTAACAGATACAGGTAAAGATGACTGTCTCTGTTGTTAGGTTGATTATTTGACTATTTTTCTTTTCACATAAATAGATGCCATGAAATATACAATTATCGTCGCCGCAACAGCTTCTGATGCAGCTCCATTACAATATTTAGCACCATATTCTGGATGCGCTATGGGAGAACATTTTCGTGATACAGGCAGACATGGATTAATTATTTATGACGATTTATCAAAACAGGTATACGTCTGGAAACAATAAGAAGAATGTTCAGCTAATAAAGAATAGAAAATTATTGAATAGTAGAAATTTATTCTTCTATAATTCATGTGTTATGGAGACTGATTTTTTCAACAATACGCGTATATTAACATACGATCACTAAGAATATCTTACGTATAGATGAATACTATGCTAACTGATGTTAATTTTTTCAATTTAGGCTGTTGCCTATCGTCAAATGTCCTTACTGCTTCGACGTCCACCCGGTCGTGAGGCATATCCTGGTGATGTATTTTATCTTCATAGTCGTTTATTAGAGCGTGCAGGTAAGGCTTAAAATACGATACTTCATGTACAAGAAACATTTATTTCAATGTGATATTTTTATTTTATGTAGCTAAAATGAATGATACTCATGGTGGTGGATCTCTGACAGCTCTTCCCATTATTGAAACACAAGCCGGTATGTTTAATAACACTTTCCTTATCATTTAAAAAAAATTTAATTCTTCTTTTGAGGTGATGTATCTGCTTATATCCCCACAAATGTCATTTCGATTACTGATGGTCAAATTTTCTTGGAAACTGAATTGTTTTACAAAGGTATTCGACCAGCTATTAATGTCGGTTTATCCGTATCACGTGTAGGAAGTGCCGCACAAACGAAAGCAATGAAACAAGTGCGTAGTCAGAGAAGAAGAATAGAAAGAAAAATTATAGTATTTCAATTTATTTAGGTTTCTGGTAAAATGAAACTCGAACTTGCCCAATATCGTGAAGTAGCAGCATTTGCACAGTTCGGCTCAGATTTGGATGCAGCAACACAGTCACTATTGAATCGCGGTGTACGTTTAACTGAATTATTAAAACAAGGCCAATATGGTAGGTGAACGAAAGTTAGTTACAAATGACTAAAATGAAAAATGCCTTTATTTCTTTAGTACCAATGGCTATTGAAGAACAAGTATGCGTTATTTATGCCGGTGTTCGTGGACATTTAGATAAATTAGATCCAAGTAAAATAACAAAATTTGAACAAGAATTTTTACGCCATTTAAAATCACAACATAAAGACATATTAGAATCTGTACGCACCAAGAGTGAATTAACACCAGAAACCGATGCAAAATTAAAAGAGATTGTACAAAGTTTTGTCGCATCATTTAAAGTTTAAAAAATATAAACACCATCACGTGTAGGACAAATATTCTTACATATTAATACTTTTGTATACGTAAGTTTTTTCTGTGGATCTCTTACAAATTATTATAAAACATGTGCTTAGCATATTCCTTATTTTTTTTTAGTCATCAACATAGCAACAGTGGACACATGTGGTCTTTCTCTTATGTATTTTTTTCTCTTACACTTTTATTATTCCGAACGATTGATCCTGGTAGAATTGAGTTATCGCGCTTTTTTCTCTCATAGAATGTGATCATACCTACCATTTAGCGTAATTTATGACATCATATTTTTTGTCAAGTTTTTTTCTTGCTTTAGTCTCTCATAATAAAATTTAAAACAAGCGCAAGTATGAAACAATTTATTAAAGAACATCAAAAGTTAACTAAAGTTTCGATTTGAAAAAGTTATGCATATGATTATAAAGATTATGAATTAACATTCTGGAAAATGAACCATTCTCGCATATTTTTCAATTCTCATATAACAGAAATAAAGACCACTAGCTTATTCAGACTCTACACATCAAACTGTCGAACGGTATACTATAGAGACACATACATTTTCTATCTGAGACTATCTTCGATAGAAAAAATGTTTTTTGAGCACTAGAAAATAAGACTTTCGAACAATAAATTGAAGAATAATAAAAAAAGTTATCAATTATGTCTTTTAGCTTACCCAAACTCAACAAAATTTAATGAAATTTTGTAAACTATAAAAGACTAATTTTTCTATATAAGACGCCAGTGCTAATGTTAAAGTAGTAAAAGAATCATACAAAAGTAACTTAAAATGTTCAACAACGAACGACAAGTTCTGAACGTGGTCAAAACACTCGATGAAGTTACGACAATAGTACAAAAACATCAAGTATTGAAATTTCGTAAGAATTTTTACTAAATATTCGTATCGATGTAGCCAATATCGTAAGTATCCATTGTGTCGGTATGAAATACAAGTTAATATTCCAGATAATAATTCAGATTCTATCAAAATAATGTCAAGTGAAATGCTAATCAACAACTTAATACAACAACTCGTTTAACATCTTCTGTTCGTGAATCAGTTACAAAATATGTTAAATGTGGTCTTATACAAAGTCAAATAAAATCTGCATTATCTGTTGATCATCCAAATACTCCATTACCAACAACTCAATTATCGAATATAATTAGCTATAATCGACGAAAAAATAATCCAGAAATATTTTCGGTGTATGATTTTCGTAAATGGTATAATGATCGTAAAGATGGCAGTAATTCATCACATTCAACATTTGTATCATATTATTCAACTGATAATGTTGATAATATTTTTGTATTATTTATAACAAAACAAATAATACAACAAACCCAATTTGCAACTTTATTACAAGTAGGTGCTATATACAAAATTACATGCAATGAATTGCCGTTATTAGTCTTTGAAGCACCGGATGCTGATCGAGACACAAATGTATCAATTACAACAATGGAAATCATTTGATAAATTCGTTTTGTAGCAGAAATCTCGTTGATTGGTTTGACCACTTAATTCATGTATATATCCAAGTGATATAAAATTATGTTCATGTAAACATTCGATTGGCTTAGCTATATTATTAAAAATTTATAAAATAAGTGATAAAACTCGTTGTAAATCTACCTATTGCTTACCCTAGTGAAAGTTTTGTTTTGATTTCTTGGCCAAGATCTTACCTCACGAAATGTCCCAAGATCTTGCGTTTCTTGGGGACAAGATCTTGTCCCAAGAAATTCAAGAAATTTAATTTCTTGTTCCAAAAAATATCCCTAGTGGAACTTCTTGATGCAAGAAGCTACAAGAAAGCAAGAAAATAACAAGAAAGTGGAACACTTCTTGCAGCAAGAAATATTTCTTGCGAAAGTGTTTTCTTACATTTCTTGGCACAAGATCTTGAGCCAAGGAAGCAAGAAATATTTCTTGCTGCAAGAAGTGTCCCACTTTCTTGTTTTTTACTTGCTTTCTTGTAGCTTCTTGCATCAAGAAGTTCCACTAGGGATAGCTTCTCCGTATGCTGACGTTTGCCGACAGATTAGTTAATAAGAGGATATCGATAATTAACTAAAGTTCCGATTTCGGAAAGTTTATGCATATGATTATAAAGATTATGAATCAACATTCTGAAAAATGACCATTCGCATATTTTTCAATTCTCATATAACAAAAATAAAGACCACTAGCTTAGCTTATTCAGACTCTATACATCAAACTGAGTCGAACGGTATACTATAGAGACACATGTAAATTTTATATCTGGTGCTACCTTCGATTGAAACATAGTGAATGTAGTAGTATTTTCAAATTAAAAGCTAAATCTTTTTTTGGATCATTTTGAGATAACAATTATATGTTGGCCTCAAGAGACATAAATTCATGCCGTCTTCAAAAGTGGCTTCAATACGAATGTCGTACAATGAACAACGACGGAGATTTTGTGAAAAGTGAATGTGTTCGCTTCTTCATTTTTGTTGGTGCACTGTAAAGACCCGTCTTCCGGCTATCTCTTCTCATTTAAAACAAATCTTATTTCTCTTGGAACGTTCGGAGACCTTCATCAGAAGAAAAGAGTGAAAGTCGCCTAAACATTGTGAAATTTAAAATTTTTTTGAAAGCTCAAACGAGATACATGTTGAAAACAACGTAAATGTAATCTCGCTTCGTTGTTTATTAGCGGAGAAGTTTTACTGTTGAGCAAAACTAACTTTTCAATATAGTGGATTTTCCACTTTTCTGAACATATTCTGAAGCATATATAAATCAACTTTTACTTTTAGTTCCGATTTTTCTTTCAGAAATCGGATGCTATTTCTCATTTTTTGCTTGGAAATCTTGCGAGTAAAAAGCGAGAAATAGTATAGGCCGATTCAATGATATGCAATTTTGAAGAATTCATAAATAATACAAAACAAAAACATTGATTATTTGGGGTTTCGTATGACTGGCTGAGGTTATTATACGCATTTTCCCTTTTATACCACAACTTATGATTTTATTATGATTGAAACACTCATATTTTTCATACAGATAAATAAGATGCTTTTGTTATCCTACAGTAGTTGACGGGATGAAAGTACCTCATATTAGAATGTTGTCGATTTATCGAGCCTAAAGTGTGCACATTTTGTTCTTAATTCAATTACCATTTCGAGACTAAAGCAGCTACCGACTTAATCCATGTTCTCCACTTGCCATTAGTATCTCTTTTAGCGTCCCTTTGTTATAAGAAAGGTTTGAACAAGTCACTTTAGGGCTTCTCGAAAACTTTGAGGCTCTGAAAAACTATCCTTCACACATTTTTTTTTGCCGGTGTTGATTTAGACCTATTTACTCATTTTTCTTTATTCTACGCTAAAACATCCGTCTTAAATGAAGACTGTATAAGACCGTTCCCGATTAGTCGAATACATTCGTCTATTTCCAAAGAAAATGTGTTACATCCCCGTACTGCCTCCACTGTTTATCTCTGTCTCCACCAGTGCCTTTTAAAGAAGACTGTAATCATTTTCTATTTGATTGCTCTAACTATTCTTCTCATAGAAACATCCTGATTAATCAGGACGTTTCTAGGAGGGGAGGTCCAGGGGTTTTCTCCCTCTTCTGGTATACGTTTTCTTCCCCGTCATTTTTACAGTAACAATATAAACTTGAGATTTTTTAGTCATGTATTAAGCAAACTATGAACATGTAATGTGACAATTGTCTCGATTTGTTTTGTATTTCATCGAAATAAAAAAGTTTATATAAAAAAAACATTCGTCTAGAAGGTCTGATGTATCTATTTTAAAAATTCAAGTTCACTCGGATGAAATTAGGATGAGGTCATAAGCAGTACACTCTAAAAAAATGCGACTTAATTTGATCCTAAGTCGAACTTTTTTTAGAGTATAGAGACATAGGCTCTATTCCGATCGGGATATAAATAACTTGTACAATATACTTCATTAACGAGAAAAGGTAGCATTAGCGGGGATTTTTAGTTATACCATTGGAAACAGCACCTCGCTAAAAAACAAGGTATACCGACAAATTCAGCAAGAAATTTTCTACAAAATGATGGTTTTTTTTAATGAGAATAATGATTTTTCGATAAAATCCGAACAAAAAGGAGTCCTTGAAAAAGGTCATTTTCTCCCACTTTTGGACCCATCTTAGCGACATCTAGTATTCCGTAGTTTTCCAGGTAAAAGTAGCAGTTCTATTTTGTAAGTTACACAGTCTAATAAAACAAGAAATTCTGCATTTTTTGGCCTATAAATTAATGATTTAAACTTTGAACTTCATACTGAAATAGTCAAAAAGCTTTTTTAGTACTAGAAACTTTGGTGGACTTGGAAGCTTATCTATTAAAGCCATTAGCAATTGAAATAAATTAACTTCAAGTAAACTATTTTGTAAAACTTAATTCTGCATCATTTGACGTTAATAAAATTATTTAAAACTTTTTTGTACAAATTATAAATAATTAAAAAAGAGAGCAGTTGCACTTTAGAACCATCCGGTACAGTTAAGAAATGTGGATTTTTCCTTGTAAGAGTTACTGTACAAAACATCAAAGATGAATTTTAAAAATGAATACAGCAAACTAGATTCTGTATTGTTTATCATATAAAGGAATTTTTTTTATAAATAGGAAGTCATAGAAAAATGCATTAATATTTAGGGCAATTTATTATGGGCCATCGGTTAAAATAAGGCGTTACTATATGAATAAATAAACTATACTAATTGTCACGGTGAACTCATCATTTTCTATGGATTGGGGGTTAAAAAAGCGGTATAAATTAATTAGATGTTTGTGCGAATCGCAGAACTTTTCGTTTGATGAATCGCATTGTGGATATGTATGTATGCGAAGACTAGAGATAAGTGTGACGATACAATTATGTTTTTTATTATTTGGAACAAAAAACTACAAATAAGTAGAAAAAAAAATCAACCGAAGGTTGTATTTGTTGGAGGCATGTTTTTCTACTTATTGTCACGCTCCACAGACTTTTATATTTCTCGTGTACATTATAGCGAAAAAGGTATCATTGTTACGTTTATTAAATATAAATTACAGTAGATAACGCTACTACTACTGTTATGTACATGCCTTTTTAGTGAGTCTTAAAATTTGATTTCAATATTAATGTGGTGTAAAATACATCATTTTTTTATTATAATATTCTTCCCTTGAAATACCTAAGCAAAAATTATTTTTGAAATTAGCATCACCTACTATCTATTTCAAAATCGTGTGGATTGTGGTCATTTTTAGATAACTCGACAACAAAAGATGATAAAGACTTGCGAGTTTCGCCATTCGAAAGTCAGGATTTTGACGCATCCTTTCATAATCACAACGATTTAAAATCTTTTTTTATAGGTAGGTCTTCGTGATGATCTCTGGAAAACTTGTTTGATTATGAAAGGATGCGTTAAAGTCCTGACTTTCGAATGACGAAACTTGCAAGTCTTTATCATCTTTTTGTTCTCGAGTTGTCTAAAAATGACCACAATTCACAGCATTTTGAAATATATAGTAGCTGAGGCTAATTTCAAAAACTTTTTTTCCTTGCGATATACCTATTGCAATAAAAGGATCCTATTTCTACAGTTTTTGTTACACCAGAAAAGCAAAACGATAAAGTGAGAATATTTTGTCTTTTTTCCATGGGTCGATAGTGCAAAGCTACACTCGAGTACCATCTTTTAGGGGTGTGACAGTTCTAGTTGTCAGAATTTAAGAACTGATTGAAAGTCGGTCACTAGCTCTTCAAAAAGAACCGGGACCTGGTATGAGTTTCACTTCTTGCTGAAAGAAACTGATGATTCGATTCAGGCCAAAAAAACTAAATTGTAACTCACATCCTACCGCTTTTTACATGTTAGAAAAACATGTCAGCGCAGCCCTGTCGTGTCCAGAGGTAAAACTCCTACAGGCCTTGATATACACGCTCTTTAGTGCGACAATGTCTGCGTACTCCTGCAAAAATATCCTGCAATGTCCTCCCTTAACTTGGGGAAATGGGGCTAAAGAACTGATATATGTCATTTTAGCTCCTCTTTCATATCAGATAACATGATGTAGTTTCCAGTCGAAATTTCGCAAAAACTATAACCATGCAACGCTGATAATATAGGGAAAATAGGAGTCTTTCCCTCGTTGCCAGATTTCCCTAATAAAATAGGTTTTTTTATGTCTAGTTTAAAGTAAGATGGCGACTATCGAAGTAGATAGTGATCGACAAACTCCACCTACATTCGGTCATGTTATTTACGATTCACATCAAGATAAACGTTATAGAAATATAATAAACCCATCAGAAACTGAACTCTTAAATGGACCACTAAAATACCAAAATAATCAAAGTGTAGCAGAAAAAACAATGTTTTTCAATAGCAAGTCAACATCGACAAACGACAATAATATGAAAAGTGTACGAGATAATGAAGAATTAAGCAACACCGTTGACAAACTCTTGGAAAAATATGCACCAGAGTAAGTGAATTTTTTTGCTGCTGAAATATTTGATACTAATGTCTTTATATTATTCGATAATTCAGTCCAATTCAGTCCTCTAATACGAATCAATTGTCATTCAGAGCTCAACAACAGCAAAAGAAGGATACAACAGTCGCGAATGACTACCAGATCATTCGAAATAACCCTACTACAAGTCCAACAACGGCAGACATAAAAAAACCAGTTCAAACACGTTCACAACCATCTGTTCAGAATACACCCGCACCACCAAAACAATCTGTCTATAATAATTTAAATCACCACGGCCATCAACCGAAGACTACTACTTTCGCGAATAAGAATGCCAACATTAGTAATGGAGCTGCTCCGTCAACTATTCCATTCACACAAGGAAAACTATATAACACAGACGGCGATCCGTTATTAGCACTTTATGATAAACAAACGAAAACAAATAACAAAGGTTTTCAAAGTCGTCATAAACAACAACAGCCATCAACTGTTTCAAGTCAAACTGTTCAATATCCTCAAGGATCTAATACATATGATCAGTTGTTTCATACCTATACAAATACATCATATCCAACGACTGTAGGTTGGCCGAAGAAAGCACCTTTGTACTTTCATACGTAACTATACATGTCGTACTTTTAGCAAAAACCACAACCATCCAGTTCTAATCTTCCTAGTAGTTTTCAGCCGCATTCTCAATTTTCAAATCTAACGAATGATAGACTAATTCAAGAATTCTATTCCAACAGTCCACAAGCAGCATCAACGCCGGTCCAAGAATTTGATTTAGGAAATTTAATAAAACAGGTTCAACAAGATTATCTGAAAGAGATTGAACCATTCGTGTCAAGTGTAAAATTTATCGAAAGAAATCCTGAATTAAGACCAGAATTATCAAGACTTGAATTTTCAACGCCAGTATCTGTTCGAAAAGGTTAAAATTGTGTGATTATTAGCTCTATATTCAAGCTTTATATTTTTTTAGGATATATAAAACGAGCTGATGATTTATTACCACGAAGTTCTGGTCATCCCGATAAACATCGATCATCATCTGATTATCATGCAAGACGGCATAAACATGATAAATATGATCGATACGATGATTCAGATGAAAGACCACATAGATCCAAACGATTGAATAAACAATCCGTAACATCCACGACGTATACTTCGACTGCAGAGAGTTCGAACGAACATCCCAGTGGCGGAAGACGGTCACAAGATAGACCAGCACCTATGCAAGGTTAGCTTAATTAGTGATACCCGGTATTTTCAAAGTTAGAGTCAAACTGTGACAAAATGAATCAATCTTATTAGAATTCACAAATCGTGTGATTTACTTAAATAGGTACAAGAACAGCCAATGATTCGGATACAAACAATCGAAAAGAATATAAAATTAATAGAGATAATGGCACTACAACAAGTAAAAGCGTTTTTTAATAAATCATTTTATTGCTTCGTCTCATATAATTTTCTCTCTTCTTTCGTTATAGAATCAAAACTCGGTTTGAATCAAAACTCGATTCAAACACCGCAAACAACAAAGATATCTAATTCTAACGTCGAAATGTCGGGTTCTGAAGATGAATATAACAGTGAAGAAGGGCAAAAACCATTATCCGCTACACTCTCGAACATATCTGAAACATCAAGAAGTTCACATGATTCAACTATCAATGAACCTCGTGATTCGAATTCGCCAGTACCTCGTAATCTTGTTAACATTGTATCTAAAACACTACCCTTAAAACAAGATCAAAATCAAACAAATCCGGCACAAAAAAAAACAACTATTCCGATAAATTCGGTTCAAATAGAGCAAAAACAAAATAGTGCTGACCGCTCATCTTCTTCATATTCTGATGAGGAAGAAGATGAGAGCTCAGAAGCAGAAGACTCACATTCAAAACACGTTACACAATCAACACCCTCCACAACGACAACGCCTGGAGCCGGACGTCTTCCTGATAACAAACAGCCGTCATCACAGTCTCCGAACCAGGGTGGTATGACAACTGCTACCACAAATGCGCCTCAACCCACTACTCAATCCATCCCAGGTATGAGCAGTTCTATTATTACATTCTAAAACAGACTCATCTTAAAATAAGAAGACTAAGTTGATTGCGAATTTGTTAACAAATTCGCAATGGATTGGCTAATCGCCAATTCATTTTATTTTAGACGTATGATCTTACCTACCTAGAAAGATACTGAGTTACCTTAATGTTCGAAAGAGAAATAAAGAAAATTTAGATCTACCGTTTTTGATTAACAAAAAAAACTGATTGACTTCTTCGTCAATTATATCATAATACGGATTAAACGCTTTACAGCAACAGGCACAGCTGCTGCAACTCCAACAACCGCTGCAGGAGGTCGTAATCCGAATGGACCAACAACAGGTACAGCTGCAACAACTGCTACAACTCCAGCACCCGCGGCAGGAGGTCGTAATCCGAATGGACCAACAACAGGTGCAGCTGCAACAACTGCTACACCTCCAGCAACCGCGGCAGGAGGTCGTAACCCGAATGGACCAACAACAGGTGCAGCTCCAACAGCTGCTGCAGGAGGTCGTAATCCGAATGGACCAGCAACAGGTGCAGCTCCAACAACAGGTGCAGCTTCAACAAGTGCAGCTCCAGGCATGTATTCTCAGATTATTCATTTCTAATCTTGGAACTCTGATTTTTATTTTTAGCTGCTAGCGGGTCAAATACAACATCTCACTCGAAGGACACCGAAGCAAAAGATTCTAAAACTAGCATTGGCTCCAAGTTCAAAGCATTCAAAGATAGACTATTACGAAAGGACAAATAAATGAACGTTTTATTTTTGTTAGAAAAACAATGTATTATTTTTTATTCATGATTTATATCGCAACTACGTATCTAATACGGCGAATTCCGTTCTAAAACGGAATTCTCCAGAAATGCCGGTGTGAATCAGCTTAAACAATTTCTTAACGTATTAGCTCAAGTCACTAGTATTTATCTAGTGCTCGAAAGTGTTATAAACTTTACTCTTTATTTGTACAAAATACCTGTGTCTTTAGAGAGATTTTTACAGGAGATTCCTTTCTTTTTTAAAAAGTCATTCGGATAAGGATTAAACTCTTTTTAACGAGTAATTACCAGCTGTGAATATGGATGAGCTGAGTAAATCGATTTTTCTGTGCATTGTAAATAAGTGCGTAACTAGTATTGCTTAAGAGTAAGATAGAAAGAGAATACGAATAATGCTTATAGATTTGAACCAATTTACTTCATAGAGTCCTATGAGGTAAATTGGTGCACTTACTCAAAGTTTCTCAGTATTTTTAAGCCATTTGTGATCGGATAAGCGTGCTATTGAGTACTAAGGTACAATCAATATTTATCTGTCTGCTGATCAAAAAATCTCCTAAATCCGTTTTCAAGCAGTGTTAAAATAAATACCAGTATCTCCAAAGCCGCGGCTACTTGACGATAGGTTCTAATCAGATAGAAACTGTACCAGTTTGAAGTTTACCTCGTATGACCTACGCCAAAGAGTAAAAGTAAAGAAAAAAAAGTTGTCCATGGGAATCACCATTTTTGTTTTACTTGTAGATAACAACTTCTTGTAATTTTGGCTAGAACTCGACAGAATGAATAATATTTTTTATAGTGTGAACATTTATACAGACACGTGGAGCCATTAGAACGCGGTCAAAACGTTTAGCGCTATTTTTCTCGTAATTTTGAAAGCTTAGAAGTTTTCACAAAACTTCCAATGCAAAAGTTGTGGAGTAGGGTGTTAGGCACCGATCGGTGCGAAAATCAATCGGAAATCTTACCAGCAAAAAGATTGGGAGCAGTTTTGCTGGAAGAGGGTTCGAAACGTTCTTATTTGCCGCAAGTGGGAAATTAGAACGTTTGCTGTGTCTGCATGGGGTAAATGGAACGCGTCTACCAAAAGTAATGGGATTTTCTTCAAAATGTATTTTCTATTTTCTATTTCTATTTCACACTATAGAAACAAAGTTCCTTAGGAAAAGATTTAGAGGATTGTTTCACTCACGAGGTAGTGTACTTTGGAAAGTCAATGCACGTACTCCGGAATATGATGGAGAGCACGAAGAGGATTTCCCCATGTTAATACAACGGGAACATGGAGAAACGTAAAGAATTATTTTAAAAAGTTTTCTAACCGTAATAAAACTCTGCAAATTATATGAGCAAATCATATTCTATAAATATTTTTTCAGTGCCTGTCGTTGTTCTTAATATGGTCATTAATACAATTTTGCATGATTTTTAATTTATAGATATGGCAGCATACTTTGTGTTTCGAAGGGGAAACGTATTAAGAAGACTGTTCAAAACAGTCACCGAAACGTTTTCAGATTGTGTACCAATACATTTTGAAGAAAATCCTATTACTTTTGGTAGACGCGTTCCATTTACCCCATGCAGACACAGCAAACGTTCTAATTTCCCACTTGTGGGAAATAGGAACGCACAGAATGTTTTTGAAATTAGAGTCTCATATGTAGCCGACAAACTATCTTGAGATCTTATAGTACATTAGACTTTTAATCTATATAGGTGGATAGAGGTGAATGTCTGCTACATTTTATGTCTACCATGTGTTTCAATATACGTGAAAGCACGATTACCAAAGTCAAAATACGTTTGTGGAAGAATCTCGTGTGTTTTGGTAGATGCGTTCTATTTACCCCACGCAGACACAGCAAACGT